GGGACAAGGAGCTTCCCGATCAACATTGAGGATCGTCGATAAGGAAGCCAATCTTTCGAATTGATTATTCTCACAAACGAACACGGATCGTTGAACATATATTGAAATTTTAATTTACTTGGTACGAGAAATCATTGCAAACATATTTATATACATATTTATATATATATATAATGTATGTGTGTGTGTGTGTGTATTTGCACGATATCAGAGACGCATACTTTTCATTATCTTATATTCGATTATATATTCATCAATTTAACAATTATGAGCGTACTATTACAAAATGTATAAAATTGTCATTCTTTTGTCAAATCGAATCAATCTGATGTCGTTCCTCTAATGTTATCATTCAAGATATTTTCAAGCGAATCAAAATGAAAGTTATTCTTTGGATATATCTCTTTATCTTCCCTTTTGAATAAATGAAAGGGACGTATCAAAGTAATATGTTAATGTAATTAATTAAATTATTGGTAGCTCTCAAGGAATCGCTATAACTACGATATATATCCTACATAAGCTACGTAAATCGTCACAGTAAGTGTCCTTTTTTGTTAAGTCCAACGTTAAGTTTGAAATTAATTGCAAAGACAAAAAACGTTCAATACAGGTAAATTGTAACAAACAGCACGATAGCAGAACGCTTTGCACTAACAACTGTTATTTAATGAATAAATGTAGTATATAATTGCATATTTGCTGATGTATCATTACTATGATGCGAAAAAGAAATTTTGCTTTCTGCTATTTAATGTCATGTATGCGCGCGCGCGCGCATGTGTGTGTGTGTGTGTGTGTGTGTGTGTGTGTGTGTGTGTGCGCGCATACCCAAAACAAAATGTCTACAGTCTTGTAGTAGACTGTCAGCAGATTCGAGCAGAAAATGATGGCAATCTGCCATTAATGCGTGACTGCGCCCACATTAGGCTTATGTTTTGTTAACATCGCCTATCGATATGTGAAGGCAAATTGTTGGCAGAAACTGAACAGATCCTGCCGACATTATCTGACGCTTGCAAATTCTGTTACGTTCTGTGTTTTTTTTCTGCAGTTTATCGATGGTACATCTAATTTTGTTGTTATTTTGTTGACATAGTGTGTAGCAGACATTTAAAAAATCTGTTTTCTACGGATTTAGCTATCTGGGTATGCGTGTATATATATATATATATATATA